GGGCTGTAGTCATCACTTTGTGAGTGTCAGTTCTGCAATCTCTTGGAAGAATATGAAAGGATATGAACGGGTGTCCCTTCTCACCTGCATTTCTCTTCTAGTAATTCTCCCGATCTTGTCTTCTGACTCTGGTCCTCAACTTGAATTCCTAAAATCGAACTGGGTTTGTATTGACTTTCACATTCCTGGATGAGCTTTGTGGTTTAGCTGCTTATAAATTGAGAAATATATGAGCCAGAAGCTATTGAACAAGAGAACACAGAACTGCCCATTATCCGCTCAATCACAAGCACTTTTCAAGGTAAATCTGTACTTAAAATACCACTTCATTGACTGATGGTACTTGTTTATTATACAACACTTATAAAGTCTCTAATAATGTGGTGTTTCATTCTCAGCAAAGAATCTTCCAAATTAGCACTCAGGAGTAGTTTTAATGCAAGTGACACCCTGTCATCAGTCTGCCTTCACAATTACAGGCCTGGTTAAACAGCAGTCTTAAACAACACCAAACATTCAGGCTCAGGCAGTTCCCAGAATTAGGAAGAGAACACAGTCAGGCCTGGGCCATGTACTTACTGCAACTACAACCATCCATCTTTTCCATGCAAAATGGGGGCACTGCTGGAAATGGACCTTTTAAGGCCTAAACATATGACTGAACTGTAGCTTTGCTTCAACAAGTTCAGGAATTAAAACAGTATCTTTATCCTTCTCTGCATGAACCACTTTATAAAATCCAGCAACCTCACATAAACTTTGTTTTGTACTGTTTTGCCGCTACTATTCTTCTGTCTTCCTTTACATTTAGCTCCTCTCACTTTCTCCCTTACTGCCAGTCCACCTCATCTCCCCATTTGCCTGTTTCCCTCTAGCACTGCACTGAAGGGGGGCTGCTTCCTCACACCCCCAGCTATCTCCTGCGTAGTCTCTTTGGCCAAGAACAACTGTGGGCTGTTGTGCTTTGCCTCTGAGCTGTTTGCGGGCAATTAAAGCAACATGATTTCTACCACCACTGAACAGTGTAGTAGGAACCTATTCTAACTACTGTTGTAACTATTTTACCATGTTGCATTTACTATGTTAGGTATTTCAATAGTTGCAGAAGTCAGTTTCGTTCAGCCATCCTAAGAAGCAGCAGCACTGCACAGCAGAAGAGGCTTGATATGACAGGCTAAGACATAAACTAAAAGCCCAGTCCAAACGGTTGACCATCAGCACACCAAAGGTACCAAAACCACCTTACAGCCTTGCTTCATGCACATCTAACAGCTGCCCAGTAGCTGTGGTGGCTACGAAAAGTGATAGCAGATGCCCAGGTGTGATAGTGATGTTCTTGCTGATGAGTCTAGGGAGTTATGCCAACACACTGTCTGTTGCTGTACAGGTGGGAGTAGCAATGACAGTGTTGACTTTGGACAGATAGTGACTAAAGGCAGAGATGGAAGGATGTGATGCTTAGGAAGTTAAGCATCATTCTGCTCCCCCTGGGGGAGGATGAGCAACTGAGAAGTTGTGCTGTTCAAATGCTACAACTTAGACAAAAAAGTTCTCAACAGAATCTATAGGGCAACATTTTGTAATGCAATCGTTCTTACTACAGATAAAGTAATAGCAATTCTTCCCTTAAATTCATGAGAACGCATTGCAGGATCGCCACCAACTTTGTTTTTTTCACTGGTTGAACATGTAAATAGCTCTACTCAGTGGATGGTATCATAACTCCTGAAGTGTCTAAGCACCTGGGGACCAGGACAAAATACAGCTGCCCTGGGAAACACTCTCTGAAGACAGAAGGAGGGTACGAAATGTACCTAATTGTGGATTCTAGTTTTTCAAGTGCCCTCTGTCTTTCCAGGCCAAGCCAAATACTCTGCTGAAAGAAATTCTCTCTCATTGGTAGTATCAGAGGACTAAGGAAACAGACAGATTATGTCCTGATTTTCCATTCCATCCTACTATTTAACCACATGTAAGATTTGCATGAGTTTCTCTATTTGTAGAACAGTACTACAAAATAAACACAGTTATAAAGCGCTCTAAGATACTAGCAGG